TGACGCAGTTGCTTGCGCCATCGTCATTGGATCCAGAACCATATCATCCAGATTACCAAATGAAAGTTCAATTTTTACAGCAGAATCGCAGGCAATATTAACAGCTCTCAAATATATAAATACTCAGACCAAACTTAATAATTTCATCATATTTTCTGATTCCCTTTCTTGTCTTCAAGCCACTAAGAATATTTCATATGACCATCCACTTTTACACGAAATTATAGAATTATTTAATGATCTTGCTACTGGCCAATATGACATCGTCTTTTGTTGGTTACCAAGCCATGTTGGTATCATTGGTAACACAATGGCTGATGCTGCTGCAAAGGCAGCACTCAACAAATCTGTGACACCACTTCTTATTCCATTCACTGATTATAAACCCGTGATTAGATCTTACATCCGTGATCTAATGCAAAAGAAGTGGGACACTCAAGTAGGTATCAATAAATTACATGAAATTAAACCAACTATCGGTTACACCTACTTGGGCTGTCAGTCAAGATTTGAAGAGGTCATAATGCGACGATGTCGTATTGGCCACAGCAGATATACACATGAGTATATATTAAAAGGTGAGGATTCTCCGTTGTGTGTCCCTTGTGATGAAAGAATCACAGTCAAGCATGTCCTGCTTGACTGCATTGATTTTTCCATCACAAGGGATAAATATTATAGTGTCAAAACAGTCAAGGACCTTTTATGTCAAGTTAATTCTCATTTAGTATTGCACTTTTTAAAAGGAAATTGATTTAATACATAAATTTTGATGTACATAATATGTTTTTATATATTGGTAGTGCTAATATATAACTTAGATTGTTAGTGGCTGTACCCTCGAAGGGGGTTGAAGTAGCGTAAAATTATTGTCCCCCTAAGAGGGTATGTAAGTCCCACATCATTCAATGTATTGTTATGCATACCAGAATTTTAAAACGTAGTATTTTTGTCATTTTAAGATAAGGATTAACTGGTAAGCTATCGTCGGTGACTGAAGGGATGATATAAATCCAGCCAGGGCGCATGCAGGAAGCAAAGGCACTGTAAGTCCCCATGGTCCCTGGTATGGTGATCTCCCTTAAGTTACTGACGATCTCTAGCCCATTTTTATATTGTGTTGTTAATTCTTTCTGCTTTTATATGTTCCTCAACTAGTTTTAATACACTCTGTGATATTCTAGTTATTGTACTGTCCTTTGCTGACAGGTTTTTTATAAAGTATATATACTTATATGTTATTAATGTATTAATTCTCGTCACGATATGGCTGAAATATTGCCGATGTGACGTTAAATATTAACTCACTCACTCACTCACTCATGAACATTGAAAGAAAACAGTGTGGAACGGTAAATCATTATTAAATCTACCCAGTATGCAAATATATATATATACATTATATTTCCATTGTATTATGGGCCGGTGGCCTGAAGTAACGAATAAATTAGTCTGTCTGTCTGTCTGGTATAGGCTTAATAGTACTATCATCTACGTAGAAGATACTTTCATCTACGTATATAATAGTATCTTCTACGTAGATGATAGTATGCCATCTAGATACTATCGTCCACTTACATACTTTCATCTACGTACATGATACTGTCATCTAGAGTATGAAGAAGTGCAGTCATATATGTGATAACAATGACATAGAGCTAACATTAACTGTGATTACATACACACCTACATGCGCGCGCACACACACACACACACATACATACAGTGTTTGTGTTGTGTTTTTTTGTATGGGTATGTAGTGTGTGTGTGTGTGTGGGGGGGGGGGGGGGGTGTGAATGTAAGAATATACTTATGTCTTCGTCGGACATACTTTTATCTACGTAGAAGATACGTTTATCTAATGTATTTGCTACATTCTAATACGTATATCTACAGGTTTGTGTTTCTATTTTATCTTTTATAATATCTTACTTTGTTCATTAGTTACATTTTGTTTTTAATTGCTCTTATCGGCATTTTTTTGGACCTCTCACAAAGTAGTGTCACTCATCTTTCACTTGGAACTATATGTAGAAGTGCAGTCATAGATCTGATGCCAATGACATATAGAGGTCGTATTTACTGGCATACATACATACATACATACATACATACATACATACATACATACATACATACATACATACATACATACACAAACACACACATACATACATACATACATACCAATGTGTGTATGTGTTTGTATGTATGTGTGTGTGTATGTGTGTGTGTGTGTGTGTGTGTGTGTGTGTGTGTGTGTGTGTGCTGATGAGGGCATAGTATCGGAGATAAATATAATTTAGTTAGTCACTTTTCTTTTCATTGGAATGTAAAGAAGGTATGCTTTAATTTCAATATTTTATTACAGTGCTTGATGTTAGCTGGAATTATTTTAATCCTCTTTAACCCCCAGAGAAGATTATCCTCTGAGGTAATTTTTGTCCGTATATGTCACAAATTAGTGATAACTTATGAAAAACGTTATTATCTGTTTCGAAAATTATATACCGCATTATACGTGAGGTACCAAATTTGGTATCAAGGTTGCTTGGCGCAATCCACCAACGATTGCCGAGTTTAATGATCTTAGAATACTCTTCGTATAAGGTCAAAGAGAATATTTACGTTAGTGACAAACCCTTTTCAATATAGATGTTCCATCCTTTCAATTTTGATCAAAACAGTTTTATTTCAGCAATAATTGATTGCAACAAATTTATTATACATTCTGATGCTCTTTGAAACTCAACAAGACATGCCCGAAGATACTGGATATTATTTGTATATGCTTGTGAATTATGATTTCGTGCTGTTATCATGATGGATTCTGTTTTTGTTGGCAAGGAGTTATTTTCCCAGCAAAGGTTGTCAGTAAGTTGTTGTTAGTTCTTCATTTATTCATTTATTTCATTAAATGTACTTCTTCCTATGAAAGGAATTATTTTATGTTATATTAATGATCCATATGTTAATCATACATTGCTACAAATATTGCATAAGTTAACATGGTTTGCATTTATTTATTATTATTTCTTTATCTGTGAGAAGTTTACAGAGATCGAGAATACACAATATCTAATAGTATATGCAATGTAGGTAAAGAATATCCACGCCCCTCTTTTGATATTAATAAAAACATTGTATATAATGTTATGTATTAAGTATTCTCCTTTCCCATGCATGGGAAATCTATGCTGCATTTGCTGACGACTGGTTTTTTCCATTTGACATTGCACAGGAGATCTGTCACTCATTTGTTGTATTTGAATTCTTCGTCAAAATATAATACAAAACACACAGAGTATTTCTCAAATAAATAAGAAAACTAAGTTCATTCTAGTAATAAATCCTCTTCTGGACAACCATAGAAATGAAATTCCAATGCGTTTATATATACATATAATTATACAACAATGTACGATAACGACCTCAATCCTCCCCCACACCCATACTTTAATGACGATTGTACGATACACCCTCTACCAACCCTGACAAGGATAGGTTCTAGTCGTTTAACGCCTTTGACACTAAACTTATAAGGTTATTACAATTTACGTAAAAAGTTATTACATTTTACCGCAAGTTGAGATTATTACAATTTACGTCAATTTTTATTACAATTTGCGTATTACAATTTACCTCAAATTTTATTACAATTTACGTTGTTATTACAATTTACGTCAAAATTATTACAATTTGCTGCAAGTATTACAATTTACCTTTTTTATTACAATTTACGTCGTAACACACCGCCTTCTGGCATAGGACTCTAGGCAAAATTAATATCATCAAAATAACAATTTCATAACTAAAGAGCATTTTTGTGATCATAATGTTTTGAAATTCAAACTTCCATGCACAAGGCATTGCGTGACCAGCCGATTGATAGAATCGGGCCCATTCTACCACCCGTCTAGGTGAAGTAAGGGTCGAAGTGGTGTGTTGGGCAAAAGGAACACTGTTCCTGGCTCCAGTGCCCTCAACCATCAGAATCCCGTCCTCCACCGACACAGGGGCGCAACCAACGGCAAACAGGTTGCCCAATTCGGTCGCCTTGTACGACCAGCAATGGGGTGCTGTGGACAAATTCTACCCCGAGTCCACACGGGGGAAGAGCGATTAGCGTGTAACAGAATGTCCTCAGATTTATGTGTAGCGGGCTGCAAACACTAACAACTGATTTCAATGAGGTACATATCTCAGGCAGTTAGTTTATACAAAAAAAGGGAGAGCATGTCCCGCAGTGGTTGTTAGGCAGGATGGGTTTATATTTGAGATCAGTGTGAAGCAATTGTAAAAATATTACATATATTTTGGGCAGTGGGAATGATTAAAGAGTTCATCGTGCCAAGATCAAGGTTCGATTCCCTGCATGGTAACCCCTTTTTCAGGTATCACCTTCAAGACATATAACAAGATTATTGCGAGAAGTGGTATAAAGTATGTATATTCAACAACTCCTGCACTTTAGATAGATTCATCAGAATATATTGCCAAAAACATTCATTCAGTAACCACACAAACTGAACTGTCCAAGTGCCTTTGAGTGTTGTGAAGGGCTTCATTCAGGGGCTGCCTCAATGGTCTTGTGAAAAGAGCGTTTGGCCGGATACGGGTTCGATCCATAGTCACATTATACTTCATTATGGGCACTAGCAAACAGACTCTGCATGACATTTGATACTCACTTGAGCGAATTCCATGTGATGATACAATCTACATAACTTTGGCGAAATATTCAATTTCAGAATTTGGAGAATGAAAACCATAGAAGAGTATCAGTTCCTGCATGAGTAATTTAATCTTTGTCTTTAATCGTGGGGTACATTCATATGACACGGAAAGCGTTTTGCCTTAAAGATATGCAGTATTTTTCATAAAATTGAAGTGGGTACTCTGTTTTCCCATTCTAAACTTCCTTATAAGAGTTAGTTTATATCTTCTGTCCGTCGTGGTGCTATTTTACAAACAGAAAACACTATTTCTGTATGTTTCAGCATAATGCAAGGTGATAACAGTGCAGGCGCAGCAGACTCCTACAACCTGACAGCCGTATTGAGCCTAATACAGCAGCTATCTCCGGCAGATCGACAGATGCTCTTTGAGCAGGCGGGCATTGAAGGAGAGTATGAGCTTGAACGGCTTCTGAATGGTGACAATATGTATGTTAAAGGCTTCGAGGAGCCTGTCATGCACTATCAGGAATACAGAATTAACAAGCTGCTGTTATTATATGTGCCACCCATTCTTATTATTATCGGAACATTTGGTAACTTGTTTTCGTTCGTTGTGTTACGTCGTCGACCGATGTTAAAAGTTTCTACATATTTTTACCTTGCTTCCCTTGCCATAGCCGATTCTTTAGTGCTGTACATCGGGTTGTTGAGGTTGTGGATAGGGGAACTGACCGGTGTGGATATCCAGGTACAGGCCAACTGGTTGTGCAAACTTACAGTTATTTTGGGCTACGTGTCCAGTGACACTTCAGTATGGCTCATCATGGCTGTCACGGTAGAGCGGTTTATCGTTGTATGCTATCCATTCAAAGCAACTGAAATGTGCAACGTTCCCCGCGCACGCTGGGTAATTTTCATTTTAATATGCCTCATGTTTGCCATAAATTTACACTTTTTATGGACAGTTGAATTAATAGAGACAACAGTAGATGGAAAGAACATTGCTAATTGTGATGCAGTAGCCAACCACACAGTATTGGTGGATGAAGTTTGGCCATGGGTTGACGGAATCATCTACTCATTCCTGCCATTTGTTACTATCCTGGTTTTGAATATTCTCATTATTCGACAAGTTCTCAATGCACGAGGCAGTCGTGAGAGGATGAGGAGCATGACGGAAAGAAGGAAGCTTGAAGGAGGGAAGAAACAGCCAGGAGAAGGAAGTACCAAACTGACCGTTATGTTGCTTACGGTATCCTTCAACTTCCTCATCACCACGTTACCCATGAACGTTTCAATGATTGTCCTGGCATTTCGCAACGACAACAATGATACACATGAAACTGTACAATTCAATCTTGCAAAGACAGTCACTGAATTGTTAATGTACGTCAACCATTCCATAAATTTCTTTCTATACTGTGCCACAGGACAAAAGTTTCGACAACAAGTACTCGAGTTGATATGTCACAAAGATCCGTCACCGTCATGGACGTCAGTCACAGAAGACACAAACACAACATCGTTAGGGAGAAACACACGGGAGCTTTTGTTGAATCACAAGGTTGAGTGTAGTCCCCTTAACTGTGGTAGGAAAGTCATGAAGACAAGACTCTGAATACATTACTTTTATGTGCGCGTGAAATATATACTGAAAGCTAAACATTACTATTATTATCTTTCGTGATATAAACCACGAATGGATCATGTACGAAGTCTTTAGTTTGGAGTATGCATGCTTCAAGGTGTGTTCTAAATGATCAATACATAGCATGTCCTGGCTTGGAAACGTTGTGGTGTATTCGTAATGCATGTTCAATAAATCAGTTGTCCTTTCTTCAGGCAATAAGTAAATTGTCTTCATGTATATTTGCACTACATGTTCTTAGATTATTAAAGTAGTTGCATACATTTGCAATCAAGTGCGGCCATCTTGACTATTTTGATGTCATGCCTTGAGCTGTCTGGGAGATTTCGAAGCACTTGCTCGAAGTGACATAAACCACTGTGCATAGAATTGTCGTCCTGTGAGGTTGGATCTCTAAATTCATAGTTACAGTTGTCAGGTTTTAAACGAAGAAGTTATATTACTGCTTAAAAGTACGTGCATCACGTGCTGTTCACACACGATGTGAAATTTCATTGTGATTAGATGTTGCGTTGTGTCAAAAGGACAGCTACATTCAGATCATTAGTTACCTTGTTGTTGTCAGTAGTGTGATACTATGAACACAATATGAGTGAGTGAGTTAAATTTAAAGTCACATCGGCAATATTTCAGCCATATCGTGACCATCAATAGTTAAATATAATACATACATTGAAATTTGTATAAAAACCTGTCAACGAAGGACAGTAAAATTACTAGATCATCACAGAAAAAGATATAAAACTAGTACGGAATTTTAAAAGAGAATATCACTATACATAACGATACAAGATAAAAACAGGCTATAGATCGCCAGCAGCTGAAGGTAGATCACCATGCTAGGGTCCATTGGGACTTACAGTACTTTTGCTACCTGCATGGACCCCAGCTGGATTTACATCATCCCTTCAGCTGTTGGCGATTATGACAAATTTAGCCAAAGTTAAATGAACATATATACTACGATTAAGAACGTGGTAGAAATAAATAGACTTTGAAAGACGTGGTCTTACATACCCTCTCAGGGGGACAATAATTTTACACTACTTCAACCCCCTTCGAGAATACAGCCACTAACAATCACAGTTAACAAATTTATTTTACCAATTATAAAAACTATACTATATACAAAACATATCAATCAAAATTTTAGCAACAATTCAATTTCTTTTAAAAAGTCAATAATTAAATGAACACTGATATTAAAAAGATCCTTTAAGGATGAAACTTTGAAAAATTTATCCCTTGTGATGGAAAAATCAACACAATCAAGCAGGACATGCTTGACGGTGATTCCTTCATCACAAGGGATACAAAATGGAGGATCCTCACCTTTTAAAAGATATTCGTGTGTATACCTGCTATGGCCAATACGACATCGTCGCATAATGACCTCTTCAAATCTGGACTGACAGCCCAAGTAGGTGTAACCAATATTTGGTTTAATTTCATGTAATTTATTGATACCGACTTGGGAGTCCCACTTCTTTTGCATCAGATCACAAATATAAGATCTGATTAAAGGTTTATAATCAGTATATGGGATAAGAAGTGGTGTCACAGATTTGTTGAGTGCTGCTTTTGCAGCAGCATCAGCCATTGAGTTGCCTTTGATGCCCACATGACTGGGCAACCAACAAAAGACGATGTCGTATTGGCCAGTAGCAAGTTCATTAAATAATTCAATAATTTTGATTAAAAGTGGATGTTGACATGAGATGTTATAGATAGCCTGCAGGCAAGAAAGAGAATCGGAAAATAGGATAAACTTCTGATATTTTGACTGTTTACTGATATATTGTAAAGCTGTTAAAATGGCATTGGCCTCAGCTGTAAAAATAGAACTATTGTCGGGTAATCTGGAGGAGATAGTCCTGGATCCAATGACAGTGGCGCTAGCAACAGCGCCACTATTCTTGGATCCATCAGTAAATATAGATTTGTAAGTATTATATGTGTTTCTTAATTCATTATATTTTTGTTGATAAATAAGTTGATTTGTTTCCGATTTCTTTAATTTAGTTAATGTCAGATCCACCTCTGGCTTTACCAACTGCCAAGGTGGAGAAGACAAAAGCTGCGTGGGGGCGATAGCTGCAAGATTAATTTTAGCGGCAGAAATATCAGATTGAAGTCTTATACCAAGTGGGGGGAGAACCGATGATTGTTTATTATAGAGATTTTCATAAAGGGGGTGAAAAACACAGTCATATGCAGGATTCGAGGTATTAGAGCGTAATTTAGTGACATATTGTAAGGATAATTTAATTCGGCGTTGTTTGAGGGAAGGTTCATCAGCCTCAACGTATAAACTGTCAATAGGAGAAGTTCGGAAAGATCCAAGACAGAGTCTCAGACCTTGATGGTGAATAGAGTCCAAAAGTTTAAGATTACTTTTGCAGGCTCCACCATAGATGATGGAGCCATAATCAAGTTTAGAGCGAATAAGTGCACTGTACAGTTGAAGGAGGGTTTTCTGATCCCCTCCCCACTTGGAATTGGAAACAACTTTTAGGAGATCAAGGGCCTTCAGGCATTTATTTTTCAAATATTTTATGTGAGGTAAAAACGTTAAATGATGGTCAAAAATAAGACCCAAGAACTTAGCCTCTTTCACAACTTTAATCGGAGTGTTATCTAAAATTAAATCAGGGTCTTTATGGGGTTTGTATTTCCTACAAAAGTGTATACAATTTGTTTTGGATTTTGAAAATTTAAAACCATTTTCTAAACACCATTTATTTATCTTATTTAGACATAATTGTAATTGTCTTTCGATAGTATGCATGTTTTTACCACGACATGATATGTTAAAATCATCAACGAATAAAGATCCATCAATGGAGTCATTTAAAACCTTAGAAAGGCTATTTATTTTAATACTGAACAATGTGACAGACAAAATACTGCCTTGTGGGACACCCTGATCCTGATTATAATGATCAGACAGGGTAGTACCCACGCGGACTTGAAATTGTCTGTCAGATAAAAACTTGGATATAAATTGAGGCAAACGGCCTCGCAATCCAAAGTCATGTAAGTCTTTTAAAATACCGTGCTTCCATGTAGGAACACAATATGAACGAAAGTGTATTGAACAGGTTGTCTTTTGCATATGTCACTTGAGAATAAGCTACTGAGTTTCTAATGTACTAAATGAGTATTCGGCTGGCATTTTATGTTAGATGCTTGTTGTCACAGAGCACCATCGTGATTGCTGTGTAGACAATGTGCGGTTCTTATGTTCCTACTGAGATACGAGTTAACAGCCCCTAAAGCATGCTGTTGTACATTGTGTCGTTGATCATGGAAGGAGCAAACAACTTGGTTTTTGGGCAATGTCTTAAAGTTGCTCGACATAGATATACATGTTGGGTGTTATATATAGTTGCCTATGATTCCTCTCGTCGTGCCTCAAACGGACAAATTCGTTCACATGTTTCAGCACATGTCGCAGTTGTAGCATTACACAAACATGTAATGATTTTCCTCATCAGCGTCCACCAGACATCTGATTCTGTCGACACAATTCTGGTTTTTTTCGACTTTCTGCTGCTTTTATTTATTCGGACTTGTTCGAATGTAACACCCTGTTCAACAAGGTTGTGTAAAATATAATATTTGGAATCTGTACAGATATTGACATTTAATAGACTTTTGGGAGTAAGGAAATCTACTAAGGAATGTGGACACTTCACCCTTAACATATTAGCTGCTAAACGTGTAATTATATTGTGGTTTAATTATATAATCAGTTATTAACAATGCCATATACCAGATACCCTAAAAAATGTTAAAAAATGTTAATTCAAAGTGCAAGCCGATTACCGGTGCCTAGTTTGCTGATTTGCTTCATCGTCTATCAAAGAGAATGTAAGTTCGAAGAGCTTCCTCACCCTCCAGGCTCACCGGACCTGACACCAAGTGATTTCCATCTGTTACCTAAACTGAAAGAACACCTTCGTGGAAAGCGCCGATGACCTCAAACTGCCGTGAAAGGGTTTTTCAGGGTGGCTTCAGAAAACGTCTTCCTGAATGGAATTGAAAAGTTTCACCATGGATATGAGATGTGTATTGAAAATCAGGGAGATTATGTTGAAATATAAAAATAAAAACACTTTCACAATTGTTGGTTTTGTTTGTTAGGCTTAGAACTTTTTGACCAGCCCTCGTATTTCATATAATCTTTATCAACCTTCAACTTACAGGTAGGTCTCGTTTAATGTACGATTATATTTCAACCAGTCACGACGATGATCGTGATCACGTGAGATGTTTCAAGCACAGGAGGTGTTTCAAACAAAGAACAAGTGCTGATTATAAGCTGAAAGCGAGTTAAAAAAAATCTGAACAAATGAAACTTCCAAATTAGCAATCTCAAACAACCACTGGCAAGTCTATGTACTTCTACCTCTGAAGCCCTAGAATATGACAAGTCTCCATGATTAGATGCATAATGGTTCAGCTGTTGTCGAGGATGGCCTATGCGAACGTATTGTCAGTCACTGGTTTGTTGTAGAACATGTAGAAAGTCGCAGAACTACTCCACCCTGTCGTTTTCAGTATAGTCTGGAGCAGCACAGAATGTCCTTAAGCGGCACTAGTCGACGCCATTCCAGTACTGAGTGGCGTGAACGTGTCCATGTCTATTCCACTCAACTGATCCAACATGACACAGTATCTTTACTTACAGCTTTATGCGGCTGTGAGTAGCTTATGGACAGCTGAAATTCGCAAGATATTCCTGTAATATCCTAACAATACGCAGACTACTGTTTGGTGAGTGAGTTAAGATTTATAGTCATATCGGCAATGTTTCAGCCATATCGAGACTAAATCAAGTTGTACAGTAATAATACATAAATATAGACATAAATATATAAAATCTGTCGTCAGTGGACAGTGAGTGAGTGAGTTAAAGTTTAACGTCACATCGGCAATATTTCAGCCATATCGTGACGAAACAAAAGTTGACATGAACAATATATTTTAAACTGAATACAATTCTGCCGACGAAGGGCAGTATAATAACTAGAATATCACAGATTCACATAAAACTAGTCAGAGAGCATGTAAAAAATTATTAACATTTTACAACACAACATAAAAACAGGCTGTAGATCACCAACAACTGAAGGTAGATCACCACGCCAGGGTCCATGGGGACTTACAGTACTTTAGCTACCTGCATGGACCCCAGCAGGATTTACACCATCCCTTCAGTGGTTGGCGATTATTGCCAATTTAGCCGAATTAAAACAACATATATTCTGCAATTAAAAACATGGTAGTAATAAATACACTATGAATGACGTGGACTGACGTACCATCTCCGGGGGACAATCATTTTACACTACTTCAACCCCCTTCGAGGTACAGCCACTGACAATCTTAGTTATCCAATTTATTCGACCAGTAGTAAAAGATCATTTATTAATTACAAAACACGTATATCAAAATTTATGTACAAGTTCTATTTCTTTTAAAAAGCTAACTATTAAATGAGACGAAACATTATTAAAAAGATCCATTATTG